AAAATTTCATCTTAATTTTACAATAAAAGAAAGCCACTAGTATCTTAATCCTTTTTAATGTTGCATTTACTTTTTAATTTTTAAAGTTTTATTTATTTATTTTTCTCCCCAAAGCCCCAGGGCATGGTTATATATCCCAGTTGTAACTCCTTCTAGTTCTTCTGCGTGAGCTGCCGCCTCAGCATGGCAACTGACACACTGGTGATGTGGTTCTGCGACCAGGAAATGAACCTGGGCTGCCAAAGCAGTGAGAGCGCTGAACTTTCAACCACTAGACCATCAGGGCTGGCTCTACTTTTTCTTTTTTTTTTTTATTGTGGTAACATTGGTTCATAACATTATATAAATTTCAGGTATACATCATTACATTTCGATTTCTGTGTAGATTATATCCTGTTCACCACCCAAAGACTAATTACAATCTATCACCATACACGTGTGCCTAGTTACCCCTTTTGCCCTCCTCCCTCCCCCAGGCTCTACTTTTTTAAAAACAGCTATATTGAGGTATAATTCATGTACCATACAATTCACCCTTTTAAAGTGTACAATTCAATGGCTTTTAATATATTCACAGATATGTACGACCATCGCCAGTCAGTTTTAGAGCATTTCATTGGGTAGTGATTTTTGCCTCTTATTTCATCAGCATCTAGAAAAGTGTTTGGCACCTAGTAGGTACTCAAATAATATTTGTTGAATGAATGAAATGTGCTAATGAGAATAAATCAGTTGAATCATTAATTCATCATTTAATGAGTGCCTACTGTGTGCTGACAACTGAAGGAGATAGAAAGAGGCACTAAGACTCTGAGCTTGTGCTTGGGGAGAGGATAGTCTAGTGGTAACAGAAGACAAATACATAGAAAAAAGGTGGATGGTGTGAGAGCAGTATAGAGAGGATTATGGAAATTCAGAAGAGGGTGATATTGCTGGAAGGGTTACTATTGTTCTTGACTTTAAATAGTTATATGCTATATTGTTACTTCACCCGGCTCCACTCTCACATTTCCTTATAGAAAAGAAACCAGGCCCCTTTCATTCTCTACCTCATACGCCAAAGATCTCCTTCTAAGGCTGTATCATTTATTAAGATCGTAAGTATGAACTGTGAGAAGAGCATTTTAGTGAGTCTCTAGTGTAGTAATAATTCTTGGAATCATGTCACATGGTTCTTTTGAAGAATGAGTGCTTTCTTATGCATAATATATGTATTAGGCAATCTTCTAACAGCTTTTTTTTTAGTTGAAAAGATACATTCTTTTAAGGAGGGAGTGGTAAGTATTGAGTAAATATCTTCTTTGTCTCATTTTCCCTAATTCTTTAATGAGGCATTTACTGGAAACCTTTCCTCAGGAGGGTTTTTACTTGGGAAAATGGAATGAAATTCTGTGGTGGTGGTGATAGCCGTGGCCTAGAGGCAAACCAGGGCCACTAGAGCAGTAATGTCAGTCAGCACTTCTCTGGCATTTACCGGATGCCTCTACTGCGCTGAGGGCCTGATGTGCGTGATCTCATGTGATCCTCACAGCAACCCTATGAAGTATTTTACGTTGTTGTCCTCATTTTACAGGTGGGAAGACTGAGGTCCAGAGAAGTTAAGTAACTTCTTTAAGATTGTTCTACAGTCAGTGAGTGGTAGAAGCAGGTCGGTTGAACCCTTAATGATACTGCTACACTGTTCCGTTCCTCAGAGAGAATGTAGCACCTAGGCACTCTGTGCTGTGTTCATTCATTTACCTACAGTATGTGTTGATTTCCTGTTATGTGTCAGGCCCTGTGCTAGGGCTGCAGTGATGAACACCACACCAGACCCGTTGCCAGCGTGGAGTACATTCTGGTTGGGAAGCTCGGAACCGGGAAGAATGGGAAAATGTTACCAGAGATGGTGGGGTGAGAATGGGGACTTTGCGCAAGGGAAGTGTTGAGTAAATTGTCCCTGGTGTGATCCAGGTAGAGGTGGACTTAAACCTGGCTCTCTTGTCCTCTGTTGGTGCTTTTACTGCTAAGTCCCAGAGCTTTTACCAGACCTTGTGTCTGTTTTTATAGCTGGCCAAATATAGGTGTGCCATGCCATTTAAAAGAGGGGCTGCATCTCCCCTCTGGAAGCTCCTTGGAAGAGTCCTTTAAGGATGACGTGGGTCTTGAGGATGACTTGTTATTTCAGTCTGTCTTCCGAGTTCAACTTTGCTTTGGAAAGCTTTCTATTCAGATATAAATGGAGAACTGAACTGAGTGAGTTGGGTATGGTCAAAAAACCTGAGAATGGAGCTAAAAATGACTCTTTTTAAAGGATTCGTTCTGTGGCCCTTCTCTACATAGAAACATTCTCTTGCCTGCTGGAGTGGGAGGGGAGCTGCCGGCAGTGTCTGTGAGGCCTTGTGTCAGAAGCACCATGGGTAGTGTAAGACATGGGAGGAGGATTCCTGACCTCTCGAGTCGTGGAACACTCTGGGGACACTGGAGTGGAAGAAAGTGATCTTTGCCCTTACAAATGCGCTCAGTGTGTTTGTGAAGCCAATCTTGTGACTTCAGTGGTCTTAAGAAAACATTTGATTGAGAAATGATTGTGTTTTTACATGAAACTCTGTCAACATATACGTGGATAAACGCATAGATATACACTCCTTTTAAGGTAGAATGAAAGGAAATTTTCGCAGCTTGCCGGGTTGGGGAAACAGGTTTAATAGAACTTTCTAGCAGTAGGGGGATCCTATTGGAATGGAACCTGTTTATCATTTGGGCTTTAAAAATGACTGACTGTTTGACGTAGTTTAAGTAAAATCCTGTCTGAAAATTAGGCCATGGACTTAAATCGTAGCCTGGAGTTCTTTTCACTGTGATAAAAGTGGCTCTGATCTTTCAAGGAAGAGTTTTCTCACCTTCCACATCTCCTTTCCCTCCCCTAGAAGAAGGAAAATGTTACTTACGTTCTGTACCTGTGCTGGTCGAACATCATCAGGTCAGTGCTAGACACCAGATGAAGCTCGATACTGTCTGGATTACATGAAGTAGTCAAGTTCTAGTTTCCTTTTGGGATAGTGGTCCCAGTTCTGATAAAGAGTGAGAATCTTGTTTGGTTTCTTTGGGTTCTGTCTCTTTCTCTGAACTCAGCCAAAAATGGGATGAAAGCAAAATAAAACAGACCAACAAATAAAAGTAATTAACAGGAACTTAACTTTGGGAATAACGATTGACTTAGGCTGGCTTGAGAATCTCAGTGGAGAGGTATGAAATAATCTTGGTTGGCTCAGGGGTGGGATGTATTATAAGCACTAGGTCGTGACTGGGAGCAAGCAAGCTTCCCTTAGCTCTTTCTGTTACTTCGGGGAAGGAGCTGAGTTTTGCCCTCAGTCACAGGGAGAGAACAGCTTTATAACACTTAGAGGACCGTATTACTGTAGTTGGTATAAGTTGGATCCTTTTCATCCAGAGAGGCCAGAACTGAAAGGACCTTGATGCTAGCTACTTTCCTTGGGAGTGTTTGCTGGTGCCTTTGGGGTTTAACTTCTAGAGTCTCAGACTGTCGTCTGTTAAACTTCCCTCCTTCCAAGGCTCTGCACTTCAGTTCCTTCCCATCTCTTGCTTTTCCCTTCCCAGGCCTCCTCAGGACAATTCCCACGTGGTCATTCTTCCTGGAATGAGTCTCTGAGGGCTAAGAAGGAATTTCTTGAGGGAGATGGTCATCATTGTCATTGCCTGCTTGGGTCAGAGGTTGACTGCTGGACATTTCTCACTGCCATAAACTACTCTGAATTCTAGATTAGAACAATGGAGATCACTGAGTCCTGTTAAATTTCATTTTAGAAACTCTACTTGCAACTCTATGCAAAGTGAAAAGCTTTGTGGGTGAGATAGAGAGAGGTGTACTGTTTGATTTCTTAAAGACTGATCTGATATTAGACGATCAGATTAGAGTCAGCTATAAAGCCAGCATTAATAATAACATGTTGGAGTTTTGGGGGGTTTTTTTGGTGAGGAAGATTGTCCCTGAGCTAACATGTGTGCCAGTCTTCCTCTATTTTGCATATGTGACACTGCCACAATATGGCTTGATGAGAGTGCGTATGTCTGTACCTGGGATCTGAACCCATGAATCCCGGGCCACCAAAGCAGAGCTCGTGAACTCAACCACTATGCCACCAGGCCGGCCCTATGTTGTTTTGGTTAGAGGGAGAGGGAAGGAGTTATCAGAAGCTAGCAGTGAGAGCTTTCATTTTTAGGTAGAATCAGATTAGATCTCACCAGATTGCTGATCCAGTCCCTGAATTCTGAGCAACAAGCAGGTGCAAGTTTATCTACTCCTGCTGTGCACCTGGATGTTTTCCCAGTGGGGAAACTGTGTGCCAGGCATTGTGCTATGGCCCTTTCCATGCTTTATCTCATTTAGTCCTCTCAGTATCCCTGGGGGTTGTAGAATCTGTTATTATCTTGTTTCCCTGAGGCTTTAATGGTTAAGTAACTTTTCCAAGGCCACATAGTGGCAAAGCCATGAGTGGAATTTCGGTGTTTCTCACTTGCCTGAGGTCCGAGAGATGGTCTAGCAAGCCTTGGGGAGATGGAAGGTGGAAGTTAGGGAGGGCTGGCTTTGGTGTTGCTCCTGCTTTTGCTGTTGCCTCAGGGCCAAGGACCATTTCATAAATGTTGTGGAGTTGGGTGGGGTAGCCAGTTGGCAGGGCTCAGAGTCAGGTAGCTTGTTTCATTCCAGGAATGGAGCAAAGTGGCATCGTTGATTGCAAACAGGCAGAACAAGTAGAGCAGGAGCCTTGTTCCCTTCTGGTCCCTTCCTTCCGTCGTCAAAAGGAATCTTATCTTTTCTTTACCTTTTCCTCCCCTGACTGAAAACCAGTCTTGCTACTGCATAAGCCTAGGCTGTTCTCTCCTTTCTGGCTCAGGGGAAAATGCCCAGAGGTTAAGGATGACTTGAGTAGTCTAACAGGAAGCAAAATAGTGTGAAAGACAGAAGAAGGAAAAATGAAGCATGGTTCACTTTGCCAGGCATTTTCTTATTTATCTATTTATTTAATTAGCGACCACTGCCTAGTCAGGGGAGGCCAGGATGGTTATATCGTCATTTTACACGTGAAAAAACATAGTCAGTACATGTTTTATGATTGTCCAGGGCTCGTCAGTAGAAAAACCAACCTAGGGCTTTGAGCTCCTCCTCCCAGAATTCTTTGCAGTGGCCTCAGATGCGTATGCCCAACACATGAACGTGTGTGTTTAACATACCCCAGGTCACCAGGTGCCAAAACGATATCCCCACATGCTAACAGGGAGCGTTTTATTTTCATCTCAAACAAGTTGTTTATATATATTATGTACATCATTTGGTGGGCACTTAATCAATATGAGTCCTGAGACATTTAATTGTGCTTGCTGTTACATATCCTGGATAGCAGTTGTTTTGTGGGCTAACGGATTCATGACAGAGTAGATTTCCAGGGGAGAAAATCTCCAGGCCTCATCTTCCTCCTGAGGACTGTTTGAGAAGGTGGATGGCTCTTGCAGCCGGCTACTCTTGACCTTATCTGACTCCTTGCTGGTAGAGGTTTATGGAGCTTTTGTTTTGTTCCTCTTGTTGGCCAACTGAGCAGCTTGGAACCAGGCTGAGTGACACTGGTCCAAAATGGGCTGTTCTCTGTAACTCCTTGTTCCCTCTTGGTTATCTGGGAGATCAGTGAGCCCATCACCGTTTATTGAATGCTGCTGTGTGTTAAGCACTGTGGAAAATACAGGGTGGAGAAAAGTGATTAAAGTACCCAGCAAAGTGCTTGGCATTCATTCCTTCATTTATTCATTAACTAGATATTGAGTGCCTCCTCTGTGCCAGGTTGTGTCCCAACTGCTAGGGATGTAAAGATAAGATAGACAGTCCTGCCCTCATGGATCTGGTGGAGGGCACTGTCATGGTACTGGGCATTCAGAAAATTGTTAGTGTTATCATCAACATTAGGGCTCTTAATAATGTAACAGTAATGATGTCATTAACAGAATAACGAGTGGTTTACCATCTTGATGAGGTTGTGGGAAATGAGGGCCTATCATATTATCGCACCCAGTGGTCTGTGTACATTTCTCTAACTGCTTTTTATCAACCAACACTCTTGAGAAGGAGGAAGGTATTTTTTCTCTCGTGGCTGGAGGATACTTGGTGTGAAGGCTCATCAGTTGTTTAGCTGCAGCAGCGCATTGCCTGTTTGGATTGGGAGCTCTGACCCTGGGGTTCTGTATTCTGAGAGTAGGGGCCCTGAGCATCTTTCTGGAGCTCCAGTCTGGGATCTCACTGGCACCAGGTCTCTTCCTTCCTGGCCTTACTTTCTATAGGGACTGCAGTGTTCTTTAAATTATAAACAGAGGAATTAGTTTGACCAAGAAGTTTCTCTTTTTAAATAGCCTAATTGAGATGTAATTCACATCCCATGTATGTCACTCTTTTAAAGTATACAATTCATTGTTTTTAGTATAGTCATAAAGTTGTACAACCCTTACACTATCTAATTCCAGAACATTTCATCACCCCAAATAGAAACCCTATACCCATTAGCAGTCACTCCCTATTCTCTTCTTCCCTCAACCTCTGGCAACCACTAATATACTTTCTGTCTCTATGAATTTGCCTATTGTGGACATTTCATATAAATGGAATCATGCAATATGTAGCATTTTGTGTCTGGTTTCTTTAACTTAGCAGAATGTTTTCAAGGTTCAAACATGTAGCATTTATCAGTACTTCATTCCTTTTTATGGTTGAATAATATTCCATTGTTTGGCTATACCACATTTTGTTTATCCATTCATCAGTTGGTGGACATGTAGGTTGTTTCCACTTTTTGGCTACTATGAGTAATGTTGCTATATACATTCATGTTTAGGTTTTGTGTGGACATATGTTTTCAGTTCTCTATATCTAGGAGTGGAATTGCTGAGACATATGGTAACTCTATAACTTTTTTTGTTTATTTTTTTTGTTTTTTGCAGGGGAAGATTTGCTCTATGCTAACATCTGTTGCCAATCTTCCTCCTTTTTCCTTCTTTTTCCCCCTCAAAGCCTTGGTACATCATTGTGTATGGTTGTAAGCTCTTCTGGTTCTTTTATTTGAGCCACCACCAAAGCATGGCTACTGAGAGACGAGTAATGTGGTTCCACACCTGAGAACGGAACCTGGGATGCTGAAGCGGAGTGCCCTAAGCTTTATCCACTAGGTCATCAGGGCTGGCTCTATGTTTAACTTTTTGAGAAACTGCCACACTGTATCCAAGGTGGCTGTGTCATTTTATAATCCCACCAGCAATGTGTGAGTATTGCAATTTCTCCACATCCTCACCAACAGTTGTTATCTTTTTGATCATAGCCCTCCTGGCAGGTGTGAGGTTGTATCTCATTGTGTTTTTTTCTTTCTTTTTTTTCCTTTTTTTTCTTTTTGGTGAGAAAGATTGGCCCTGAGCTAATATCTGTTGCTAATCTTCCTCTTTTTTTCTCTCTCCCCAAAGCCCCAGTACATAGTCGTATATTCTAGTTGTAAGTCCTTCTGGTTCTGCTATGTGGGACGCTGCCTCAGCATGGCTTGATGAGTGGTGCCAGGTCTATGCCCAGGATCCAAACCAGCGAACCCTGGGCTCCCGAAGCAGAGCGCATGAACTTAACCACTCAGCCATTGGGGCTGGCCCCTCATTGTGGTTTTGGTTTGCATTTCCCTAATAACTAATGATGTTGAGTATCTTTTTTTTTTTTTTTGAGGAAGATTAGCCCTGATCTAACTGCTGTCAATCCTCCTCTTTTTGCTGAGGAAGACTGGCCCTGAACTAACATCCATGCCCATCTTCCTCTACTTTATATGTGGGACGCCTACCACAGGGTGGCATGCCAAGCAGTGCCATGTCCGCACCTGGGATCCGAACCGGCAAACCCCGGGCCACCAAAGTGGAACGTGCGCAGTTGACCGCTGCGCCACCGGGCCAACCCCCGATGTTGAGTATCTTTTATCAGATGATTTACAAATATTTTCTCCCATTCCTTGGGTTGTCTTTTCACTGTCTTGATGGTGTCCTTTGCAGAATAAAAGTTTTTAATTTTGATGGTCTGTTTTATCTCTTATTCCTTTTGTTGATTGCTTTTGGTGTCCTATCTAAGAAACCATTGCCTAATCCCAAGTGACAAAGATTTGCCCCTATGTCTTTTTCTAAGAGTTTTATAGTTTTAGCTCTTTCATGATCACTAAGTTCTTATACTGGCTGAGGCTTTGAAAGTTCCTAGTAACTGTTTTATAAGGGTAAGAGCTGGGTGGGAGGCTGTTATCCTGGGGCTTCTTTTCCTTGCTGTCTTCACAAGTCATTAGAGGACCTTGATCCTGGGAGCACTTGTTTTTCTTGCAGGTAAACCTAGCTATTTTGCAGTCTCTATATTTCATTGTCTTTTTTTTTTTTTGAAAGGTAACGAATGAAGAGGACTTCATTAGGAAATTGGACTGCAAACCTGATCAGCATCTGAAGGTGGTTTCCATTTTCGGAAATACTGGTGATGGCAAGTCTCATACCCTCAACCACACTTTCTTTTATGGGCGTGAAGTCTTCAAGACCTCCCCTGCCCAGGAGTCCTGCACTGTGGGCGTGTGGGCAGCGTATGACCCAGTCCACAAAGTGGCAGTGATAGACACGGAAGGGCTTTTGGGGGCTACAGTGAATCTAAGCCAGAGAACACGGCTGCTGCTTAAGGTCCTGGCCATCTCAGATCTCGTCATTTATCGAACTCACGCAGACAGGCTGCATAATGACCTCTTCAAGTTCCTTGGGGACGCCTCAGAAGCTTATCTGAAGCATTTCACCAAGGAGCTCAAGGCTACCACTGCCCGCTGTGGCCTGGATGTCCCCTTGTCCACCCTGGGCCCCGCCGTTATCATTTTCCATGAGACTGTGCACACTCAGCTGTTAGGCTCTGGTGAGTAGACAGTGTCCTGTGTCACAGATTGACCTTTCTGGGTACAAAGAGGCAGCCATTGGGCTGCAGTAACTTGATGGTGGTGGATTGCCCAGAAGGATCTCTGCCTGGGCAAGACATAAGAAACTGAAGAAAGATGGAGTGATCAACCATGGAAAATCGGCTTATGGTCATGATGAGGATTGAGAATTGCCAGTTAGCTTTGGCAGTATAGAGGTCCTTGGCGTCTTGGATAAGACCTGTTTCCTAGGCATGGTGGGCATGAAAGCCTGATCAGAGTGGGATCAAGAGAGAATAGGAGGACAAGAATTAAGGTAGTGAATATATTCAACTCTTTCAAAGAATTCTATCAAGGCAAGCAGACAAATGAAATGATAGCTGGAGGCTGGTGTGGGATTTCAAGGAGTTTTCCCTTATTTAAATTTAAGATGTGAATTATTGCAGATACATGTGGACTGATGGGAATGATTCACTAGAAAGGGAACAATGCAGATGTAAGAGAGGGAGCAGGAACAGTTGGAGTGATGCACAAGTGGACAAGTTGGCCTTAGTTAGGGGCATGGACAGTTCCCCCGTAACAACAGGAGAGCAGGTAGAGTATATGGGCATGGTTGCAGGTAAGTAGGTAGATGTGGTGCGTGTGTAAGTTGTTTTATTGTTTCTGTCATCTTAGAGAAATAGGAAGCAAGATCATCAGCTGAGTGGGAGGATGAGGGAGCTGGTGCAATGCCAGTAATTGGATGCAGGTGGGGACAGTAGTGTTGGCCCCTAAAATAGTTACATCATTTACCTGTTCAGTCAGTCAACAAAGTTTGTTAAGTGCACAATGTTGAATGCTGACCACTGGGTCACCAAGCTGACAAAATCCATTCCCACCCTTGAATTGCTCACAGTCTAGTTGGGGAGACCATGTGTGTTCTGTTCTGTAGTGGTTGTAGGTACTGGAGCTGTGGGAGTGCAGAAGAGGGACACTTTACAACTCCTAACGGGATCTAGCAAAGAGGAGGTAACATTTGAACTCCAGAGACTTGGCTCGATAGGGGAGGGGAGGAAGGATGCTCTAGGAAGAGCAGATGCTGGTGGTTCAAAGGCGCAAGTTCTGTCCAGGGAACTGCAAGTCGTTCTGCAGTAGCTTCCTAAATCCCATTCCAGCCCCCTTGAGTGCATTCTCCACTGTGTCCAGAGTGATCTTTTAAAAGCTTAATTTGTAATTTAGATCATGTCATACTCTTGCTTACAACCTGTCAGTGGCTTTCTACTACATCAAAATCAAATCCAAACTCCTACTTATGGTGTCCTCACCCTAACTCTTGCCTGTGTCTCTGAACTCCTCTAGTTATCCCTTTCATCCCCTCTCCCTTCCCTGTGTGTGTGTGCACACGCCCTCCACTAGCCATCCCAGCCTGGTCTCTGTTCCCACCTTTGCATCTCTGTTCCCATCTTTGCATGGAATGCTCTTCCCCCAGTGGTTAGCCATGCATTTTTAACATTCAACTCAACTCTCACCCCCTTTGTAAAGTGGTCCTTTCTGCACCATAGTGCCTACCCCCTCATGACATCATCTGTTCATTTGCATCAGGGCACCTATCACTATCTGAAACCATCCTGTACGTTTGCTTACTTGTTTTTGGTCTTTTTCCATTAGAATGGAAACTCCTTGAAGGCAGGAACCTTGCTATATCTAAAGAGCCTGGATGAGCACTGACACACAGTAGGCTCTCATAAGATGTTTGCTGAATTAATAAAGATGACACATAGTAGGCTCTCATCAGATGTTTGCTGAATTAATAAACAAAGAGCCTCAGTGTGTCTGAAGCATAGGTTGTGCAGGAGGGAATGGTGGAGACACTCAGGGTTGAGATCATGTATGGCCTTGACTTAGTTCTCAGGTATGACAGGAGTCCCTGAAGGATTTTAAGCAAGGAGTTATATGATCAGGTCTATATTTTCAAAAGATCCCCCAGCAGCCTGTTGCAGGATGAACTAGAGAGGTGTGCCTGGAAGCAGGGAGACCAGCCAGGAGGTTAGCTCGGTACTAGATGAGAAATGATGGGGGCCGAGCCAGAGCAGTGGCAGTAGGAGGGAAGTGGACAGACTGGGGCCATATTAAGGAGTTAGAATCTGAAGGCCCTGGGTCTAATGGGAAGATGAGAAATATAAACGTTCCAGAATGGAAGAAGAGTTTCGTTAGCAGGTGAATCTCCGGTAAGGAGAGAAGGTTGGAAATGCCGGCGTTAGGATGCCTCCCATGATGAGCAGTTTTATGCCACTTTGGATCTTTACAACTTGGGTAAGGGAAAGTTTAATTTCCAGTTCAGGATTTTGAAATAACCAGCCCTTCAAAAGTAACTTTTTTGCTTTGTGCCATGAACTATGCTTGATTTTTTAAAAAATAAATGCTAATTTACTGTATCTTTGTTATTCAGCCCAGTCAGTAGCAGCCCCAATTTACAGATGAAGGAACTGAACTCAGAGAGCTTAAGTTATGTAACCAAAGAGGTTCCAGCTAGTAAGTTGCAAAATTGGGATTCAAAGCAAGGTCCTCTGACTCCTAAATCCAGAGCAGTTTCTGGAATACCATTGCTGCTTCTTGAAACCTTAAGATGGAACCAAGGCAGCCAGAGTTTATGTAGAGTAGAAGAAGAGGTGCCAGAACTGGGGGCAAATTGATAATTAGATTTTTCTCTGTCTCATAGACTTTCTAATTTTGTTTGATCCTGTTCCTTTTCTGGATAGAGGATTTCTAGGTGGAATTAGTAGGGAAATGAATTACCTCTGTTTGACAGGTGAGCAGAATCAAGCTCCCATGATAATTTGGGAGCCAGTGATTCAGGGACAAGCCTGTCCAGGGACAAGCTGTGAGATGATGTGGGGAGGAAGCGAAGGTAGTCAGGCTGTGCTCCTGGGTGGCTTTGGGAGAAATCAGCCACTGATGGGCTGCCCTGGGATACTGCCTGTTTCTTCTTTCAAAAGCTACTGACACAGGGAAAGTTCAGGAGGAGATGGGGTTAGGGATTAACTGCAGAATGTTGACTATTTCTCTTGATGACTCTAGCTTTAAATTTGCACTAACGCCATATCTCCAGTATTAATTGGAGTGATTTTGTTGTTGTTAAAATATTAAAGGAATTTAAATTAAAAAGTCCTTCCAACTTTTACCTCCAAAATATTTATTGAATCCATTTGTATTACCATTCCCCAAATTTCTGGATAAAAGTTGCTGAGGGGGCTGGCCCCGTGGCCGAGCGGTTAAGTTCGCGCGCTCCGCAGCAGGCGGCCCAGTGTTTCGTTGGTTCGAATCCTGGGCGCGGACATGGCACTGCTCATCAGACCACGCTGAGGCAGCGTCCCACATGCCACAACTAGAAGAACCCACAACGAAGAATACACAACTATGTACCGGGGGACTTTGGGGAGAAAAAGGAAAAAATAAAATCTTTAAAAAAAAAAAAAAAAAAAAAGTTGCTGAAACTATGGGGGAATACTGTCATACATTGGCAGTTTGTCTGCAGCTTCACCAGCACAAGACCAGCATTTTCAAGGTAGCTATTTATTCTAAATGGTCATTAGTAGGTGTATGATTAAATATGTCCATAGGATGGAAGACTATGTAGCTATTAAAAAGAATAAGGAACTTCTGAGAACGTATCATGACAAGGACAGACACATACAGTATGTTATTAAGTGATAAAAGCAAGTTGCATGTATGTGTTGGTAAGTGTGTAGGGAAAAAAAAGCCTGAAAGGGCAAATATTGAACTGTAGTTACCTTTGGGGACTAGGAGGGAGCAGAGGACATACATTTCTTTCCTTTTATGTTTTGAGATAAGTTGGATTTTTTACAATGAGCGGATTGAAAAAAAAAGACTTCCTTGAAATATAATGTACATGCAGAAAAGTGCACATCATATCAAAAGTGGATAACATGATGAATTTTCACAACCTGAATGTACCTATGCAGCCAGTCCCAGATCGTGACACATCAGCACCCACTTCACAGCAGCCGTGCTCATGCTCCCTTCTAGGGAAGGGTAACCTGAGTTCTAACAGCATAGATTAGTTCTGCCTGTTTATGTACTTTATATATGTGGAGTCAGACTCTGTATTACTTTTATGATGAAAGACAGGAAACTTTTTTTTTTAAAAAAGGTCACTCCCTGTTCACGTACCTGTTTCTGCTTGTCCAGATCACCCCTCAGAGGTGCCAGAGAAGCTTATCCAGGACCGGTTCCGGAAGCTGGGCCGCTTCCCTGAAGCCTTCAGTTCCATTCACTACAAGGGCACGAGGACTTACAACCCTCCCACGGACTTCTCTGGGCTGCGGCGTGCTCTGGAGCAGCAACTCGAGAACAACACTACCCGATCTCCCCGGCACCCCGGGGTCATCTTCAAAGCCCTGAAGGTCAGTTGGCTCCTGCCCCGAGTGCCTCTCTGGGGGACCAGTAGGTGGTGAGAACACGCAGTTCTCCAGCTTTTGTTGGTGCTGGTGATTGGAAACCGGGTCTGGAAAGAGAGGTTGTAAGAAAGAGAAGTGCATGAGTGGAGTTTGCACCTGTCAAATGATCTTGTCTTGCTAGGAACACAAGTACAGAGGAATCTTGGGTGATAGTTAAACAGTGACAGGTCCTTGTCACAGAGAAAAGGTAGGCTTTTAGGCGATATGACAAAGCGTTCATTTCTGGGTGGTGTGGCCCGCCCAGGTGAGTTGCCCTCATGTGGAGGCTCAGTTATCTGGACAGCCTTTGCTTGCCTTTTTATGGACTCATCACCCCGCCCTCTCTTTTTCTTTTTAACCTAAATTAATTTATTCAAGAAGGAAACTTTTTTTTGTTATCACTAAAAATGGAAAACTAGTATCACAGGTAGAAATTTACCAAGACAAAAAACAAAAACAGACACATGATAACAGAATTTAACAGTAATTACTGTTATGTACCGAAGTTCAAAGGACTATATATAGATTAGTTCATTTAATCCTACACCAACTCCATGAGTTAAGTACTATTACCATCCTCATTTTGCAGAGGAAACTGCGGCACAGAGAGGTGAAGTAATTGGTTGCATGCAGTTACTAAGTGGCAGCAGGCATAAACTGTGGCTCCTTTACTGCAGAGCTTCTCACAACCATGCAGACTCTCCTGCCTCTCAACAGATAAAGTACATTACATACTTGTTAGAGACTGTTGCTTATGGAAGGTTCTGAGACTTTAGAAGATTGCTTAGCAAGAGTTCAGGAGATGATAAAGATATACTGTTACCTAAGTGTGACTTTCTCCTTAACAGAATCTGACATTTTGAAAAAGAATTGAAACGAGAGTAATTTCTCTTGTGGAATTTGGTGATATTCAGTGTATCACCTACAGTCATGTCCTATGCCCCCTAAAATTCATCTTGTATATACCAGTGATGCCCATCTTTTGGGAAACTCTTCTCTAAGCATTGTATCTTTGTCCCTTAAAATCAGGTGAATTGTTTTTCTTGTGTATCTCAGCAGTAGTATCAATGTATTGTTTTGATAATACAGTAAAAACCTGTTATAAAGCAACTTGCCATTCCACAGATTCCACTTCTCCTGTCCTGATGGATGCTCCTTGCTTCTTTGTGACAAAGAGAGCCTGCCACATGGGTAGGCTGCTATCCCTTCAGCCATGACGGGTGCTGTGTAACCCATCTGAGGCCCTTGAGGATCAGTCTGTTGCCCCTTCTTTATCAAATAGCATCTGGGCCTCCTGGGTACCTGGGTAGGTGGACATCACTGTATTAGGCATTATCACCTCACTCCTACATTATTATAGTCATGAACAGGCAAGCAATCACTGGAACAGTGGCACTATGGGCAAGAACAGAATGAGATAGTTGAGACTATGATTTGAGGTATTACTGATTGTTGAAAATCGCCATTTTAGAATTGGTTAGGTAGTGTCAATGGAATTTTGATGTCTTATCACACATGCATTGCTCAAAGCATTCCCTGGGCCCAGTAAAGCTGGGAAAAGTTTTCCCAAAGGAAATTTAAAAGTTGTTGATACCGTTATCGAAATAAGAATTCTAATTTTTGGACAATTTGTTCATTGATCCATTTATATTGCATTTGTCTAATTTCATATTGTCTGGCTTATATTATGAATACACACTTAAGTGTAGACAATGTGGATACAACAGTAGAGTATAACAGTGAAATCAAAGACCATATGTCATCCCTCCTCCTAGGCACAGCCATTGTCAACCGTTTAATGTGTGCCCCTGCGGTGTGTGTGACATGCATTAAAAAAATACAGCTTGTCATCATATTATAGATGTAAATTTGTAATCCTTTCCCATGTAACATCATAGATATTTTACTATATTTATTATATGGTCTTTATAAATAGTTTTGATAGCTGCGCATTATTCATTGTCTAACTGTATCAAAATAACGATTGTTGGACTTTATTATTAATAACACCACAACTGAATATCATAAAAGCTCTTTCTATATTTGCAATTATTTTCCTAGGTTATATTCTCTTGAAGTAGAAGATTATATCAAAGAGGTGTGTGTATGTGTGTATATATATATATATATAAGCAGTGAACATCTATTGCAGTTCTGTCATTTCACATAGTTGGATATAGAATCCTATTTAAATATTTTTGCATATTTGGCATCTTCTTTTCTATTTTGCCTGTCTTTAGTATTTCAAAGATTTTATTTCAACACAATCTCTTTAATATGCACTTCTTTAATTTACCATTTTTATAATGAATTTATCAAATGGATCCCTGCAAATACTACTTCCCTTTCGTGGTTTGCTTTGCACACACCTCTGTGTTTCCGTGCCTGCAGGCCTAGGGCAGAAGAGCAGGAAGGGGGCAGGGCCTTTGGGGCAATGCTGGGCATTGGGATCTGGAGAGAGGACAGGCAAATGTTGACAAGAAGATTGGAGCTGGGATATGAGGATGCCCAGAGTGTCAGGGGATAGAGACCAGGACTGGGAGGGATGGGGGGGAAGGGATATGAGAAGGGGGTTTGGCTTAAAGCTAGGCAGGCCCAGGTTTACAACTTTGGGCATCTGCTGATTTGCTTAATCTGTTGAGTTTAAAAGTGGGGCACAATGTAAGCAATTAGTGAATCTGGGTAAATTGTATATGAGAGTTCCTTGTACCATTCTTGCAGCTTTTCTACAAGTTTGAAATTATATCATAATGAAAAGTTACCCCCTCCAAAAGAGGTTTGTGGTTGCTCTAGGCTGATATGTTTGTGTTCTCCCCAAAATGTGTATGTTGAAATCCTAATGCCCAATGTGATGGTCTTAGGAGGGCCCTGGGGAAGGTGATGGGGTCATGAGGGTGGAGCCCTCATGAATGAGATGAATGCCTTTATGAAAGGAGCCCCAGAGAGCTCCCTGGCTTCTGCCACCAAGTGAGGACACAGTGAGAAGGCACCAGCTATGAACCAGAAAGCAGGTCCTCACCAGAGCCTGACCATGCTGGCACCCTGATCTTGGACCTCCAGCATCCAGAACTGTGAGAAATAAATTTCTCTTGTTTACAAGCTACCCGTTCTGTGGTATTTTGTTACAGCAGCCTGAACGGACTAAGACAGTGGTTAAAACCTTGGGCTCTGGAGTCAGACTTGTATTGGAATCCCAGTTCTGCTACTTACCAACTGCTTGGTTTGGCAAATTAGTTTATTTGTTCATTCATTCATTCAACAAATAAATGAGTGCATCTATGTGCCAGGTCGAGTTTGGAGTGCTGAAAATGTAGTGGAGAACAAGATAGACAAAAATCTTTGCCCTATTCTACTTCTTCAAACCTTTTTCCTTATCTGTAAGATAGGGGTAATAATAGAATGTTCCTAATAAAGTTGAGGTAGGGATTAAATGAGAACAACATACTTTAAGAAACAAAGTACTTGGTATATAGTAACTGTTCAGTAAGTAACTGTTATGAATAATATTAAGGAAAAAGAAAACTATGAGAAATGGTTATATTTGAATAATTCATCAAATACATACTTCTAATTAGAATTTGAGGTTGAAGTATACTTAGACGTACTGGCTAATGTCCTTGTAATGGCTCAAAGGTAGTCAAAGGGGAAGATTACACCCAAGTATTGCAAACATTCTTGAAAGAGGCTGAATGCATACAGTGTTATACAAAGAGCTGTAAATCTGATCAATATGAATTTTGACAACTAGGCCAATGGCTGGGTTATTGAGTTCCTTAGGTCTTCTCAAAGCTAACCCAGCTTAATGCTGAAACCAGACCGTCAGGGACACCCCGTGCTGTGAGCAGTAATTAGTGCTCAGAGATTTTACCCTCAGGAGTCTTGGATGTCCTGCTCCAGGGCGGTTTGTTAGGCACTTTTGAGAAAAATAGTTACACTGTATTCTTCTGAGGTGATATGATTCATGAAGCTCTCTGTGATTAAAATGAGCCTGGTCAGCTGGAGTTCTGATGAGCTGTGGTAACTGGTGTCCTCACCTGGACCCTGTATTTTCCATCCTCTGAGCCAGGGGCTGTGCTGTACTGAGACATGGGACCCACTGCTGCTGTCCATGGCAGGGAGTCATCTGTTGAAGCATGAGTTTTGGGCTCTCCCTGAAGAATGGTGGGGTTCTTACAACTTAAATCCTTGAAAAAATTGTTTTTGTCTTTTTTTGGTTGTTTTGTTTTTAACACTCTTCTTTATATTAGAAGTTACTAATTCTCTTATTATCACTCTACTAAAAAGCTACCTTTAAGGTCTGCATTAGGCAAATTGACCCGGTAGAGTTTTATTGCTGTTAAGATACACTCTAACTGAAGTCTTCATACGTCATGGCAGTGTATGACTGTCTGTTCTTTTCTCCACTTATTTTTTATTTTGTTTTATGTTGTATTTACTTTTACAAATAGTTTTGAATCCTTTGTGGAACAAAAGAGTGGGGATGGGCATAAACAGATAAATTATCGATGCCAAAATAACTTGTTGGGCTTCCTGTTCCTCCTGGTTTTTTCTTTCTCCCCTTGGTATTCTTTACCTCGTCCAGTTCCTCACTAACTCACTGAACAGACACTTCGAGAAGGCTAGGAATATGTTCTAATATGATTTATATGAGTTTTAAATATGATTTTCTCTTTATTTTAGATAAAATATGTAGGAATATTTTCAGGAAAAAATAAACCTTTTGGGAAAATGGAGAGACAAATCACATAAGAGGCAATCAAAAACTGTCATGCACAAATAAAGAAATTTCAACTCTAGTAATCAAAGAAATGAAGATTAGAACCCCAATCATACAAGGGCAGACACTGAAAAGTCTGGCAATAAAATGTCAA